ACAGTAGTTAGCAGAACACAGTAGTTGGCAGGCGAAAATGCAGACCTGGAAAATATATAGAGAACTTTCACGACACGTATAAGTACGATAAAGCACCTTCATTACTGGGAATGGTTGAAGTTCCTTGACCTGTACTCCCTGGAACGCAGACGAGAACGATACATGCCAATACACTTGGAAAATCCTAGATTGACTAGTCCCAAATGAGCCACACGAAAATCACTCCCGATAAAAGCAAAAGACTCGGCGGGAGATGCAACATCCCCCCCCCCCCAGATGAAAAGCAGGAGCGCCACGAGTACGCTAAGAGAAAACGCAATAAGTTTCAGAGGCCCAAGATTGTTCAGCTACCTCCCAGTATACATAAAGAGGATTACCAATGTACCTCTGGCTGTCTTCAAGAAGGCGCTGGATAGGTACCTGAAGTCAGTACCTGATATGCCCGGCCGTGGCTCGTACGACGGCTTGCTTGCAGCCAGCACTAATAGCCTGGTTGATCAGGCCCTGGTCCACCGCAAGGCCTGGTCACAGACCGGACGACGGGGGAGTTGACCCCCGAAATCTTCTCCAGGCATACTCCAGGTAAGACACGGTAGTTAGCAGAACACAGTAGTGAGCAGAACACAGTAGTGAGCATAACACATTAGTCAGTAAAACAAAGTAATCAGTAGAACAATGAACTCAGCAGAACACAGTAGTCAGCAAGAGATGGTATTCAGTAGAACACAGTAGTCAGCAGAACACAGTAATGAGCAGAACACAGTAGTCAGCAGGATACAGTACTCAGCAGAACACCGTATTCAGCACAACACAGTAGTCAGCAGAACGAAGTAGTCAGCAGAACAATGAACTCAACAGAACACAGTAATCAGCAAGAGACAGTAGTCAGCAGAACATAGTAGTCAGCAGAGCGCAGTAGTCAGCAGAACAATGAACTCAACAGAACACAGTAATCAGCAAGAGACAGTAGTCAGCAGAACATAGTAGTCAGCAGAGCGCAGTAGTCAGCAGAACAATGAACTCAGCAGAACACACTAGTCAGCAGGACAAAGAAGTCAAGAAGACACAGTACTCAGCAGAACACAGTAGTCAACAGGACGCAGTAGTCAGCACGATACAGTAATCACCAGAACAGAGAAGTCAGCATGACACAGTAGCAAGCAGAACACAGAAGTCAGCAGGGCTCTGTAATCAGCATGACGTAGTGGTCAGCATCATGCGGTAGTCAGCAAAGCACAGTAGTCAGCCGTCCCAATGAAAAGCTCTGTTGCTAAAAGCACAGTACTCGCCCCCATTCTGTTCCTCATCCTCATATCAGATATAGACAGAGATGTAAACCATAGCACCGTATCTTCTTTTGTAGACAGTACAAGAATCTTCGTGAATGTCATCCACTGAGGACATTGTAAGTCTCCAAGCGTATATAAACCAAGTTTTCCAGTGGGCAAATTTCAGCTACTCCATTATGAAAAACGTGGGGAAATAATAGCTAGAACTGAGGATACTACAAACTCTAACCACACAATAAAGCGAAAAATTAATGTTAAGTACTTGGGAGTGTTAATGTCAGGCTCTCACTTTCAAGGATCACAACAGTGTCACATCTGCGAGGAAAATAATAGGATGGATACTTGGAACTTTCAAAACAAGGGATGCCAAGCCAGTGATGATTCTTTTTAAATCACTTGTTCTCTCTAGGTTGGAATACTGCTGTACACTAACAGCGCCATTCAAGGCAGGCAAAATCGCAGATCCAGAGAATGTACAAAGAACCTTCACTGCACATATAAGCTCAGTCAAGCACCTTAATTTCTGGGAACTTCTGGAGTCTCTTGACCTGTACTCCCTGGAGTACAGGCGAGAGAGATTCATCATACACTCCACCTGGAAAATCATAGAGAAACTGGTCCCAAATCTGCGCAAAGAAATCACTCCCTACGAAAGCAAAAGACTGGGCAGACGGTGTAATATACCACCCACTTATGCAACATATGGGAATCTTTAATAAAGATTCCCAATGTTCCATAAGTGTCTCAATCTTCAACTTGTCGGTTTTCAAAACCATTTATCACATTTGTCAGACACTGCAACATCCTGTGATCTTGATACAAGGAATTCTTCAATACTTGTCCAACCTTTGGACGATGACCTACTGACTTACACTAGTGGATGGTTCCACTGTGATCCCGCCTCCTCCTGCTTGGACTGATGAAGCCACTGTGTGGCGAAACGTTTCCTTAATAAAGATTCCTATATGTTGCATAAGGTGCCATAAGTACACTAAGAGAAAACATAGTAAGTGTCCAAGGTCCAAGATTATTCAACAACCTCCCACCATGCATAAGAGGATTTACCAATAGACCCCTGGCTGTCTTCAAGAGGGAGCTGGACAGGCACTTAAAGTCAGTACCCGATCAGCCGGCCTGTGGTTCCTACGTTGGACTGCATGTGGCCAGCAGTATAAGCCTGGCTGATCGAGCCCTGGGAAACCTGGTCACAGACTGGGCCGCGGAGGTGTTGACCCCAGGAACACCCTACAGATAGGTAGGGAGGTAGGATGGGCATAAACAAAGGTGATATTAATCAAGTCCTGAGGATGTCGAACCAGGTAAGAACCAGAAATAAAGGATTTAAGTTGGATAAATTTATATTTAGAAAGAACATAGGCAAGTACTGGTTTTCTATCAAGGTTGGGGATGCGTGAAACAGTCTTTCGAATAGGGTAATGGAGGCTAGGGCTTTGGGTAGCTTTTAAAAGAGATTGGACAAATATATGAGTGGGAGGGTCTGGATTTGATTGGTGTCGTGGGTACGGGAGTAAATTCTTGGGTAGGGGTGGTTTTGATATGGACCTGCCTTGTATGGGCCAGTAAGTCTTCGGTAGTATTCCTCCATTCTTATGTTCTTTTGATAGAGTAGTCAGCAGAACACGGTAGTTAGCAGGATGCAGTAGTGTGCAGAATAAAGTAATCAACAGAACACAGTAGTCAACAGAACACAGTAGTCAGCAGGACACAGTAGCCAACAGAAAACAATTGTCAACAGAACACAGTAGACACCAGGACACAGTAATCAGCAGAACACAGTTGTCAACAGAGCACATTAGTCAGCAGGACACTGTAGCCAGCAGAACACAGTTAACAGAAGACAGTAGTCAGCAGGACACAGTAGTCAACAAAATAGCAGAAAACTGTAGTCAAAACACAGTAGTCATCCGGACACAATAGACAGCAGGACCCAATCAGAATGACACAGTAGTCTCTAAGAGACAGTTGTTTGCAGGATACAGTAAGCTGGACACAGTAGTCAGCAAAACACAGTAGTCAGCATGACACAGTAATCAGCAGTACACAGTAGTCAGTATGACACAATAGTCAGACGGACACAATAGTCAGCTGGACACTGTAGTCAGCAGGACACATTAGTCAGAACACAGTAGTCAGCAGGACTCAGTAGTCAGCAGGACATAGTAGTCAGCCAGACACAGTAATCAGCAGGACACAACAGTCAGCAGGACAAACAGTCAGCATGACAAAGTAGTCAGCCGGACACAGTAATTAATAGGACACAGTAGTCAGCCGAACACGGTAGTCAGAAAGACACAGTAATCAGCAGGACACAGCAGTCAGAATGACAAAGTAGTTAGCCGGACACAGTAATTAATAGGACACAGTTGTCAGCCGAACACGGTAGTCAGAAAGACACAGTAGTTAGCAGGACACAGTAGTCAGCTGGGCACAGTAGTCAGCCGGATACAGTAGTCAGACACAGTAGTCAGCAGGACGCAGTATTCAGCAGGACACAGTAGTCAGCAGGACGCAGTAGTCAGCAGGACACAGTAGTCAGCATGACACAGTAGTCAGCAGGATACAGTAGTCAGCAGGACACAGTAGTCAGCATGACACAGTAATCAGCTGGACACTGTAGTCAGCCGGACACAGTAGTCAGCAAGTGTCAGTGAGGTGGCTAAGTCCTTCACTCATAGGATGAGCAGCAGTGAGTGTGGGAGTCAGGAGTTTTGCTGACGACATTCAGTCTTCAAGGACACCCTCGTCCTCCCTCTCTCTCTCTCTCTCTCTCTCTCTCTCTCTCTCTCTCTCTCTCTCTCTCTCTCTCTCTCTCTCTCTCTCTCTCTCTCCTCTCTCTCTCTCTCTCTCTCTCTCTCTTCTCTCTCTCTCTCACTTTTTTTTACACTATGGTTTTGCAAGTTAGGGTAAAAGTTCCTACCTTTACTTACAAGCTAAGAGATACAAATAAGGAATAGACTGTAGTCTCTCTCTCTCTCTCTCTCTCTCTCTCTCTCTCTCTCTCTCTCTCTCTCTCTCTCTCTCTCTCTCTCTCTCTCTCTCTCTCTCTCTCTCTCTCTCTCTCTCTCAGTGGAGGTGTGGTGTTGATCACCGAGGGAATATTATGCAGAGAATTTAGAGAGTAGATTTCAAGACAGTTTAAGGTTACGACAGGTGTAGTTCAGAGGTCGGTGGAGGAGGAGGGGTTGTTGAGGTTTTTTAGTCATTTAGAAAGTTTGGAGCAAGATAGGATGACCAAGAAGATGTATTAGTTTGAGATGGAAGGAAGGACGAACATATTTTGCTGACCCTCGTGTTATGGATAGACTTTAATGACCCTTGTGTAGTCGAGAGTCGTTTTAACCCTCGTGTAAAGGATAGTCTTTAATGACTGTCGTGAAGTGGATAGGATTTAATGACTCGTGTAGCGGATAGTCTTTAAGGACTCTTGTGTAGTAGATAGGCTTTAATGGCCCTCTTATAGGGGATAGCCTTTAATGACTCTCGTGTAGTGGATTGTCTTTAAGGACTCTTGTGTAGTAGATAGACTTTAATGACCCTCTTGAAAGGGATAGTCTTTAACGACCCTCGTGTAGTGGGTAGTCTTTTATGACCCTCGTGTGGTTGATAGTCTTTAATTACCCTCGTGTAGTGGACAGGGAGTCCCAGTGTATTAAAGAGAGAGAGAGAGAGAGAGAGAGAGCGCATGCGCAGACTGCGGTGATGGGCAGGTATATATACGGCAGCGCGATGGAAGCAGCCACCACACGTCACTATACTTCACAAGATGAGGGTCCACGCTGCTGCTTCTCTCGTTCTGCTGCTGCTCGGCGTAGTGGCCACCGGTATGTGTGTCCTCACTCACTTCAACCAACCACAGGAAATATATATATATATTTTGTGCTCCAGAAGATGGAAGCGAGACTTTGTTTAGTGTGTCTAGTGGTGTCAGTGATGAAGGAGGGTCGATGAGCTGTGTCTAGGACCCACGCAAAGAATAACGTCACACTACCGTGATTAAAACCACTCACTGAAAACCCGCACTTATGAGAGGAACCCTAGGATAATGTTTCGGTCCATCCTGGACCATTGCCTTTTGTGATTTGACCATAATCCAGGAAGGACCGTAACTTTATTCTAAGGTTCCTCTCCGAAGCTCTGGTTTTTGGTGACTAGCACCCACGCCTGGTGAAGCTTTCATTGGTGCACTCAGAACTCTGAAATTTTCAATTTGTAGGGTAACTACAGTGCAAAATAGTTAAATGATTCTCTCTATACCTTCCTTTGAATGAGTTCTTTAGAGAAGAAATTTCTCAAAATCTCCATCTGAATGAGTACTTGTTGACCCTGGTGTCTGGGAGACATCAATGCTGACTAGATAGTGATCATTGGCTTGGCCAGGTCTAGGAACATTTTCACTTCGCAGGAAGCAGGCACCTCGATGCAGGTGAAGGGCTCTTGATCTCTAGAATTAAAACAGCCCTTCCCTTGGATCAAGCCTGTTTACCTCACTTTATTACTATTATCATTATTCTCACACTAATAATAATAATAATCATTCAAATGATGGTTAGGAGTTGTGGACTCTTTGTATCACAATCGTGTGTTGTTTTTGCTTCCTTCACTATAGTACTTGCGCATTTAATGATGTTCTCACAATGTTCACTATAACACCTACACATCCAGTGATGTTCCCACAATGTTCATTATAACACCTGCACATTCAATGATGCTCCCACAATGTTCACTATAACACCTGCACATTCAATGGTGTTCCCACAATGTTCACTATAACACCTGCACATTCAATGATGCTCCCACAATGTTCACTATAACACCTGCACATTCAGTGATGTTCCCACAATGTTCACTATAACACCTGCACATTCAGTGATGTTCCCACAATGTTCACTATAACACCTGCACATTCAGTGATGTTCCCACAATGTTCACTATAACACCTACACATCCAGTGATGTTCCCACAATGTTCACTATAACACCTGCACATTCAGTGATGTTCCCACAATGTTCACTATAACACCTGCACATTCAATGATGCTCCCATAATGTTCACTATAACACCTGCACATTCAATGGTGTTCCCACAATGTTCACTATAACACCTGCACATTCAGTGATGTTCCCACAATGTTCACTATAACACCTACACATCCAGTGATGTTCCCACAATGTTCACTATAACACCTGCACATTCAGTGATGTTCCCACAATGTTCACTATAACACCTGCACATTCAATGATGCTCCCATAATGTTCACTATAACACCTGCACATTCAATGATGCTCCCACAATGTTCACTATAACACCTGCACATTCAGTGATGTTCCCACAATGTTCACTATAACACCTGCACATTCAATGATGTTCCCACAATGTTCACTATAACACCTGCACATTCAGTGATGTTCCCACAATGTTCACTATAACACCTACACATCCAGTGATGCTCCCATAATGTTCACTATAACACCTACACATTCAGTGATGTTCCCTCAATGTTCACTATAACACCTACACATCCAGTGATGCTCCCATAATGTTCACTATAACACCTGCACATTCAATGATGTTCCCACAATGTTCATTATAACACCTGCACATTCAATGATGCTCCCATAATGTTCACTATAACACCTGCACATTCAATGATGCTCCCACAATGTTCACTATAACACCTGCACATTCAGTGATGTTCCCACAATGTTCACTATAACACCTACACATCCAGTGATGTTCCCACAATGTTCACTATAACACCTGCACATTCAATGATGTTCCCACAATGTTCACTATAACACCTGCACATTCAATGATGTTCCCACAATGTTCATTATAACACCTGCACATTCAGTGATGTTCCCACAATGTTCATTATAACACCTGCACATTCAATGATGTTCCCACAATGTTCACTATAACACCTGCACATTCAGTCCTACCTTAACAGCAACATCCACTAACATTCTGACCTTGGTGAGTTCTTTTCCCAGCCGTGATCATAACTGAATTACGTTCACACTGATGAACTCTTATTTCAGCCCGTACTAACCTTTATTGTTTGCAGGTATCAGAGACTTGGTTGAGAAGCTACATTTACGTTGCATTTTTGACGTTTATAAGATGTTTCTTTAATACGCCAGAGAGTTATGCTAGCTTTCTTTTTTATGTCAAATTATTATTATTATTATTATTATTATTATTATTATTATTATTATTATTATTATTATTATTATTATTATTATTATTATTATTATTATTATTATCTGACATGTTTCTATTACGTTTTGTGTTGATATGTATGTGGGTGTTAATGATAACCTCTCTCTCTCTCTCTCTCTCTCTCTCTCTACACACACACACACACACACACACACACACATACACACTTTTGCCTGTGTTGCTTCCTACCTGCTTTCTTACTGTCTACTCATCTCCACACATCCAACGGATACCCATGTACCTGCCTTCCCATCTATCAGTCTACATCCCTCCCTTCCTCCTTCACCTTCCCCCCTCTCTCATTCTCTATTACCCTTCCTCCCTCACCCCCGTCTCTATCATTCTCATCCCTTCCTGTCTCCTCTCTCCCTGATATTCCCTTCCTCTCCCACCCTTCTTAAAACTCTAATCCTCCCCCCTCCCCCCCCCAGTTCTTCAGTCAACCCCCTCCCAACTCGTTTTTGTGTTGAGGAAAGTGAAAGTCTGTCCTCTACCCCCCCCCCCGTCCTTCTCGTTACCCTATCCCCTGCCTAGCCCTTCACTGCCCCTGCCTCTCTCTCTCTCTCTCTCTCTCTCTCTAGCGTCCTCTATCACCCCTCCCTCTCAACTTTGTCTACTCTTGCCCCCTCGCTTTCCCTTCCTCCTCCCCTCCCATACCCCCCTCACACACACAGTGGTCGTGGTGGCTGGCAGATAAAAACACGACCTCCAGTGTTTTCTGTAGGTAAACAGAGAAGAGTGTAGCCACGCCCACCTCGGTGTTGCCGCCACGCCCACCTCGGTGTAGACACGCCCACCTCTGTGTAACCACGCACACTAGTATATAACTAAACCCACTATCGCAACTATACCTACCACCACTACCATCACCACCACTACCACCACCACTACCACCACCACTACCACCACCACTACCACCACCACTACCACCACCACTACCACCACCACTACCATCACCACCACTACCACCACCACTACCACCACCACTACCACCACCACTACCACCACCACTACCACCACCACTACCACCACCACTACCACCACCACTACCACCACCACTGGCTTGCAACACCACATTCCTTCTATCCCACACACTCGTCGCGCTTCCTCCACCTCCTCCACCTCCTCCACCTCCTCCACCTCCTCCTCCTCCACCTCCTCCACCTCCTCCTCCTCCACCTCCTCCTCCTCCTCCTCCTCCTCCTCCTCCTCCTCCTCCTCCTCCTCCTCCTCCACATACCAATACTGTTACTGCTGCTTCAGTCACATATATTCTCACTGTTGTTGCAAGTGTAACATTGTTAGCCACTCCTGTCTCACTAGTGGTAGTAAGTGCTGACGTAATAACAGTAGTGGTTGTAGTAGTAAGTATTAGCAGCAATAGTATTAGTAGCATTAATATTAGTAGTAGTAGTAGTAGTGATGGTTGAAGAAGTAGTAGTAGTATTAGTAAGTGATAGAAATCAGTAGTAGTAGTAGCAATAATAGTAGTATTTATATTAGTAGTAGTAGTAGCAATAATAGTAGTATTTATGTTAGTAGTAGTAGTAGCAATAATAGTAGTTTTATTGGTAGTAGTAGTAATAGTAGTGGTAGTAACAGCAGAAAAAGTTGTAGTAATAGTTGTAGAAATAGTAATTGCAATAGCAGTAAGAGTAGTAAGAATATTAATAACAGAAATAGTACTAGTAATAATAGTAACAATAGCAATAGAAGTACCATTAGTGGTAGTAATAGTAGTTGCAATAGTAAGAGAAGTAGCATTAGTGGTAATACTAACAGAAATAGTAGTATTAATGGTGGAAGTATCAATGGCCCCAGCTGGCTGCTGGCCAACTGAGGCCATTGATACAGCTGGCTGCTGGCCATCTGGGGCCACTAAGATATCAACATGTACACCAAAATTCACCGTGCGACTCCTGATTATTAATTCAATTTGTTCCGTTACTCTCCTCCAGTGAAAGTGTTGGGGGGTAGTGATGGGCAGGGAGGGGTGTAGTGGTGGGCAGGGAGGGGTGTAGTGGTGGGCAGGGAGGGGTGTAGTGGTGGGCAGGGAGGGGTGTAGTGGTGGGCAGGGAGGGGTGTAGTGGTGGGCAGGGAGGGGTGAGTGGTGGGCAGGGAGGGGTGTAGTGGTGGGCAGGGAGGGGTGTAGTTGCGATGGGTTGGTATGGTAGTAGTTGACAGTTGCCAGGTAAGACAGCAGTTACTTGTGGGCAGAGCAGTGGTGGAGGTGGACATAGCTGGGGAATAGTGACGGAGGATATCTGATAGTTATGTAGATAGACACACAGGTTACCAAACCAGCACTTACTGGGACAACTTTTTGCTCGGTGTGGAGCTTCATCAAGTTATGACTTGGTAAAGTTCTACATAGAGGAAAACGTCCTAATAGCAGTTTCTGCGTCTGTGTTCATGGATGCCTGTAAGACGCCTTATCACTCGTGCGATGGATGAGCAGCTGCAAGACGACAGGACACTGTATTCCCTGGTGCCCGATTATCACAACCTGTCTGGGCAGGATCAGGTCTCCAGCCGCCTGAACCTGGATTATGTCTCCACACTACCTGTGACCAGCCAGGCGGACCTGGACAATCCGACCACA